ATATCAAAATATGAACAAAATAAGCTAAATTCACACATGGGCATTTTGCAATTTGAACAACGTACCAACAATTTGAGCTTCAAAGACGCTACGAACTCAGGGTTGGTTTGCGCTTACTTCCAGAAGACGAAGGAGGAGGTGGGTCAAGAGCAGATACCTCATCCAAAGCAGCTCTCAGAGCAAAGCTTTTCATGTGATGGGGCCGGACCATCACTTTGGTGGATTATATAACGCCCAAATGAAAAATCAAGAACCTTTAAAAATACACATCAAAATATGAGATAAATAATACTGCTTGAAAAAAATAACCATAATCAAAACTATTTGAACCAAATTAAAATAGTTTAAACCAACACAGCTAGACAAGGATAAAGCATACAATAAAGCAATCAACCAAAAAATACCCAGAACGTCCGAATGGAAAATCAAGCACCTTTAAAAACACATATCAAAATATGAACAAAATAAGCTAAATTCAAACATGGCAATTTGCAATTTGAACAACGTACCAATAATTTGAGCTTCAAATACGAGATCAGGGTTGGGTAGGTTTGCCAGGATGAAAATGAATGAGAGAGAGAGAGGAGATGATGCTGAGAAGAAGAAGAATAAGAGAAAGAGTTGTTGAAGAGAGAAGGGAGAAGGCGGCTCAAAGAAAGTGAAGTGGAGTGAGAGAGGTGAAGTAGGGTTATGGAATGGCCTTTGAAAATAAAAGGTTTATGGACTTTTAGGGGGGTGTATTCAATTAGGATTCTAAAGCGTTTAAAAAGATTTTAAAAATTCGGGTGTATTCAATTTGGATTTAGACAAACTTTTAAAAAGTCTATAACAGTTTGGGTGTATTCAATCTAGACTTGTTTGAACGTTTAAAATGTCCATCTAAATGTGGGTGTATTCAATTAGGACTTGGAAAAAGTCCAAATAAATTTACCTGTATTCAAAAGGAGATAGATTTGGAAAGATTTAAATTAAGTGTTGGAGTTTGGAGAATTTGTAGGGTTTAGGTATAAATAATAAAGGCCAACATAAGTCCAACCTCCACCCCAAAGATTTCAGACGACGTATTTTTTTTCTCTCTGCAAAAGACGAACCACACTCCAAAGGTACGCTCTCTCAATATTCTTGTTGGTTTTCCTTCTTCTTCCATGGTTTTTCTTGTCTGTTACTGTTCATTGATGATTATTGGTTGATGTTTTTCTTGTTTTTATAGAGGTTTTGCTTGTTATTAGAGTGTAGCTTGTTTTTAGGGTTTATCTTGGGGTTAGGGTTTATTAGGTACCCCGATGACGAAGCTTTCTCTTGTTCACTGTCAAGCAAGGTGAAAATATGACTGGCGCTTTTTTTCTTTGGATTGGAAGGGAGAAACAGGATTTTTTTTTTTACTGAAAATATGTCAGGCAGTGCAGTGGAGGGTTGTGTTGTGTATAAGGCGTTAATATCAAAGATAAATTATTATACCTCCAACTATTTGTCTTCTGGTTGCATGTATATACGTTATTATGTTATAAATATTTACTTAAAATATGTTAAATTTTTATAGTTGTTTGGTTTCTGCACTTTATGTAATATTGCTTGATGAGTCTTGTTATTTTTTGTCTGGTTATATGGATGCATACGTAAACAGCTACTTATAAAATTTTCTTTTTTTGTTGGCTTGGTTTTTATGTGTTGGTATATCATAATGAGTCTATTGCTATCCTTGTTTGTATAACTAACAATAATTTGCATATATATATATATATATATATATATAAAGTTTAGAAATGGGAGATTGCAAACAAGTAACTAGAAAAGGGAAGGCCAAGAAAGATTATAGTGCTTGGAGTGTGGAAGAGAGCAAAATGTTGTTGCAGCTCATGGTTGATGCTGCATCTCGTGGATGGCGTGATGCCAATGGCGTGCTAAGCAAGGCAACCATAGAAACCAAAATATTTCCCATCCTTAATGAAAAACTTAGGTGTCATAAAACCTATTGTCATTACCAAAGTCGGTTGAAATACTTTAAGAGAGAATTTCAAAAATATTCACAACTTATGCGTCATAACTCTGGGTTTGGGTGGGACTCAAACACAAAGAAATTCATTGCTCCTGAAGAAATTTGGGAAGACTACTTTAAGGTTAGGTTCTTAACTTCTCTCTCAATATGCGTTATGTGGTAACCTAAGTACATAATTCATTACTAATAATTATTATTTAATTGTTGTTTTTGTAGTCCCACCCAACCCACAGGCATATTCAAACAAAAACTTGTGAGGACTATGAGGATTTGCAAATTGTCATTGGGAATGCAACTGCGATTGGAAAAAACTCATTAGGATTGGGTGATGGTACTGATGCAAGAACTTTTGGGGTGGAAGATAGACAAGTTGGAATAGAGGACTTTGTTTATGATAATGACACTTAGGCCTTTGTACCAAATAATAATGAAGCATCACACCAAGATCCACCACTTGGACATTCTTCTTCATCCTTACCTTTTCAGGCCAATATTTGGACAGGTCCCTCAAAAAGCTCAAGCCAGAGGAAACGAACTAGACCAGAGCATGAAGAGAATGGTAGCCAATATGAAACATGTATGGACAGAATAGTTTTAGCATTGATTCAATTGCTACCGACTTCAAGGGAGTCCATAGCCTATTGGAAAAAAGGGAAAAAGATAGGGAGAGGCAGAGTTATATATGGGAAGCTATTAAGGAGACCCCAAATGTGGATGAACGTGCTCGTTATAAAGCCCTTTCTTTGTTGAATACTACTACAAAGAAGGAAGCCTTTTTGTTGACGCCCCCTGAAGAGCGCTCAAGTTGGATATCTTACAATTTGGAATGAGTGGTTTTTGGGAATGAGGGGTGTTCAGGACCAAAAAATCCACAGTTCTGCCAATTCTTGGCCCAATGTAATACCTTACCGAGAAGAAACCCGATTTGGGCACGCGACAGTTCGTCATATGCGCTTGCACACATGCCACGCCAAGCAAATAAGCAACACGCCACACTACAAGCTTAAGTGGGCCCAAGCCACGCAAGATGCCCGGGGCTTGCTTGAGTGGGTTGTGGTATGGATGGTAATAAGTTATCATGAGACCCATTGATGGACCGAGAAATGGAAGTTCCGGGTCGCTTGGGAGCCTCGGAATTCAAGCCCATTTCTTAGGCCCAAAAACATGGGTAAGTACAAGAGAGAAAATATCCCAACCAAAATAGCCCAACCAGAAAATAGTCCATTACTCCAACCAAGAATGGCCCATTGCCTCAATCAAGATGGGCCAACACTTAAGGGTAGCCCATTTATTTAATTATTGTCATGGCCCATACAATTAGGATAAGAAATATCAAAAACTCTAGCACTTGGCTGGAGGACAAAGCTGCGCAAGGAGCTTGGAGGACCACGTGCACAGAGCAGCTGTAGAGCTTTAGCCATAGAAGGAACAAGTTCCAAGCAAAAACCTTCAAGGGACCAAGGGATTTTGGCGCGCAAGGAAGGATGCCACTTTTCAAACCAGCATACATAGCCATTTCTTTTTTCAATCTGGCCATGGAAAGAGGAGAAAAGAAGAAAAAGGAGAGGGATGAAAATATGAATGCTTCACAGCGGTAGCCGCGGGAAAGGGGCCTTGAGCTCCCAAAATCCCTGATTTTATGCAAAGGAGCAGAGTGGACTTTACCAAAAGAAGATGATTGAAAGGATGAGAAGAGAAAGGGAAGCAAAAACTTGGCAAAATAGGATGGAAGTCAGTAGGGTTTCTAGGAAACAGATGGCTTCTAGTAGCTATAAATAGGGCCTCTTCTACCCAACGAAAATCATCCACAACCAGAGAGCAAGCTTCCTCTCTTACTTTCAAAACCAGCAATTTCCGTGCTTAGTTCATCTCCTTCCTCAGCTTTCCCCTTTGTCATGCTATTCTGACATTTGATAGAGTCACCGTCGAGCTGCCGGAAATAGCGCCCATGCCATCTTTTCCTTTCCTTCCCTCATTCACAACCAAACCTCTCTTCAAAATCCTTTTTCTTGATACCCATATTTCCCCAGGAACACTTAATTTTCTCTTTAGTACTAAACTCATGGCAACTATGCTCCCATGCCACAAGCTTCTCATGTCAAGCTAAGATTCTATCTGTAAACACCAAGAAATTATCTGTAATTTGTTGTTATTCTCATTGGGGAAGGTAACCAAGGTGTCTCCTAAGGCCTTACTACCCTTTCGAAGCATCCTTGGGGCTTAATTTTCGAACTCAGACACAAAGGGCAATTTCACACATCTGCACTCATGGCAACTATGCTCCCATGCCACAAGCTTCTCATGTCAAGCTAAGATTCTATCTGTAAACACCAAGAAATTATCTGTAATTTGTTGTTATTCTCATTGGGGAAGGTAACCAAGGTGTCTCCTAAGGCCTTACTACCCTTTCGAAGCATCCTTGGGGCTTAATTTTCGAACTCAGACACAAAGGGGCAATTTCACACATCTGCCCATCCTTTATAGCAGCCCAAGCCCATTCGTCAGGCTGCTGGAACAAAAAAGACCCCTACAAGTGGGTTTTGGGGATGAGTGGTTTTTTGCTTGATAATGCATTAGGATTTATCAAACAGTATGTTTAATTACTTTTTTTTGGTGTATGACATATTGACTTATTAAATTTTTATTAAATTGATGATGAACTTTGCTTGGTTATTGTTTTTATTCCAGGTACGCGCTAGTTGATTTTTTTAATGTCTTTGTTATTGGGTGTTGATGACAATGAGTCCTTGTCATGAATTGGGCATGAACCCAAAAGAAATTCTGAATTATAATTGGATTTCTTTTTTTTTTTTTCAGGTGGTCGAATATCAATATATATAATGGAGGAAGAACAAATCGAAAGGCAAGAAATTGAGAGGGAAGAAGAACTTTATGAAATCATTAGGTATTTATTAATGGCGATCCAAGCAGTAGCTCATGCATTGAATGAGTTTATGATTATCATGCATAGTGAAAATGTTGAACGTCCATTAACTCGGCGAACAGTTACTAGGAAAGGATATAACTATATACATAATGCTTTGAGGATCCTGAGCATTTCCGACAAATGTATAGAATGTATCCAAATGTGTTTCACAAGTTGTGCAGTATTATTAGAGAAAAAACACTGTTACACAAGGTTCATTTGTGTAGAAGAAATGCTTGCGACATTTTTGCGTGTTGTGGGTCAAAATAACAGATTTTCTGTAATACGTGACACATTTGGTCGATCCCACTTCACTGCTAGTAGAAGTTTTAACAAAGTTTCAAAGGCTTTGAACACATTAGCACTAGAGATGTTAGTCAAACCTGGATCTGCAGTGCCAGCCAAAATAAGGGAAAGTACAAGGTTTTACCCTTACTTTAAGGTAAGTGTTGTCTTGTGAATCTTGTTTACTTTTATGTAATATTTTTTAAGTCAAAATGTAAACTTTGAATTTATTCAGGACTGCATAGGAGCTATCGATGGCACACATATTCCAGCAATGGTAACAGGGGTTGACGTAAGCAGCTATCGTAATCATCACGGAACAATATCACAAAATGTATTAGCAGCTTGTAACTTTGATTTAGAATTCATATATTTGCTTAGTGGGTGGGAGGGCTCAGCTCATGATTCAAGAGTACTAAATGATGCTTTGACAAGGAGGAATGGACTTAAAGTGCCACAAGGTATTTTTTCTTTTTCTTTTTTCATTTACTGTTTACATTAGATCATACATTGGATACTAAAATATGTGTATTCAATTATCAGGTAAATATT